CATGAGCAATAGAGCAGTTGACTTATGAGTAGGGGATCTAATGATGCTAGATAATGTACCAGCTAAATGGAAATGTCAATTAAGGAGACGAGATGCATGACTCGATTGTCTTGTATCCAATGACTCAACGATGATGGTGACGATGGCACCTTGCCACATCATCGTGCGCCCCACCCAAAATCTAAATAAACCTAATTCCCTCCAAATTATTTATTTTACATACAATTCAAAAATTCAGTATAAAGACCTTGCCCTAAAATTTCTTCTCTACTGAAGACTTAGCATATACATTCTCCTATTATAATGCATTCGTCGGTCGAACAAGGGATTTCTCGCTCGACATATGCCTGCTGTGACCGAGATCTTTGGGGATGATTTCGTACTACAATTCGGTGGAGGAACTTTAGGGCACCCTTGGGATAATGCGCCAAGAATCTATTCAAGTGCCACTCTATTATTTCATAACTTGTCAAAAGCGAATATTCTCTTATTATTTCTCTTCTAATACAAATTTTCTTGTGTACTCCGGTTTAAGCATCAAATTATTCTTATGTACTCCGTTTTAAGCATCAAATTATTCTTATGTACTCTGATTTAAGCATCAAATTGTCCCGAAAAAACACTATGTCCCTACTTCAAAAGCACTTTGTGCACTCTTTCTCATCATCTTTTGCGTTGCTTTAAAAATTAAAATGCTTTTTCACTTTTTCTGTGGGATGCATTGACGTTTCACCCTACAATTATATGATAGGGGGAAAAAGCCTCCCTTTTTTGTTTGACTTGATGGTAATGAATTAATAATCTCCACAAACTTGATGACCTGTCACAAATTAATTTTAATACTTTTTTATTATTATTATTATTATTATTATTATTATTATTTAATTTGTCCGACTAAAATGTGACGAGTTGAGCTGCATGTACAGGGTTTCTCACAAATTTCCCCACAGAGCACTCACACATGGAAGGGGTGTGAGTATTTTTTCACTTTTTTATTGAGGTGGGTCCCACCTCATGTGAGAGGTTTGAACCCCTACTCCTGTACAAAGGGAAAAATCGAAATGGGACACAGACGTCATTCCTTTACACTGGTGTGAGGCAACTGATAAGCACGAATAGTCCGTCAACTTCAAGAATGTAATTTGTTTTTTCATCTAAAAATATATATTCGGGAAAATATTATCATTTTTAAATAAAATAAGTAAATATATAATTTAACTATGTTCAATAAGCTTTGTATATGACATATCAACATATAATTTGAGCAAATTAACTAAAATTTGGTGTAGAAAATTTCATTTTTTCATGACGAGCATTTTTGGTATATCAATCTCATTTTAAATGATGTATGACTTAAAAAATCGTCAAAGGAAATATGTGATACTCAAAATTAAAATAAAGGAGGTTAGTAATTTTTTTTTAATGTGAGGGAATGTCTATGATATTTTGATAAAGATCATAATGTCATTGTATGGTCTCTTTTTAATGTATTATTTTTATTATCTAATACTTTAAAGTCCACCTTATGGAGCATGTGAGGTGGATTATTACTTATTAGTGATAATCATTGACAAAAATTGAAGTGGATGGAAAGTTGGAACAATGAGCCCCTAAAGTGAAGGAAACAAATATTTGGGATCTCAAGGAACCAAATCCTTTACAGCTAATTATGAATGTCTTAAGCTAATTATGAATGTCTTTTCTACATGTCCACACCTTAATTTTCGGGTGCGTTTGTCTCTCATTATTAGGAGAAATATAGAGTAATGAACATTATTTTTTGGAGAATGTGTAGTTGAAAAGTAAAGTAACTTAATTGGTTTGTGTATGGTGAAGAATTTTAATGTAGCAAACAACTTTTTGAAATAATGGTAGATAAACAGGGGCTTCCCTTTTGATTTAGGTAAAAAAAATCGTTTTTTAGTAAATTTTGATAAAATTGATAGAATATGTGGTTAAAAAATTGTGAAATCCATGAAATGTGCAGTTAAAATTAATTGTTGATTTTAACTAAAATTTTAAGGAAGCCACTATTTGCGTCCACCATTTTTATATATGTATCCACTTTTTTTAAAAAATAAAATTCTATATTACTTTATCAACCTAATGTAAATTTATTTAAATCGATAAGAATAAAATCAAATATATCACTTTGAATGCATCCACTAATATTTATCGTCATTAAATGCTTATTTTTTTAGATGTCACGTTTAGCTAAAATTCTAATATTAGTAAAACATCAAGTCGAAAGATAGAATGGAGAAAAAACGGATTGGTCCCAAGAATCTTGACAGATCAAATCCTTAGGTTCCGTTTGTTTCCATTATTCCAAAACATTGTTTGCTACAATAAGATTCTCCACCGCACATTCACCCAATAAAATATTCAATACACAACCCAATAAAGTTACTTTAAATTTCAACCACACATTCTCCAAAAATACTATTCATTACTGCATTTCTTCTACAATAATTGGAGACAAACACACACTTAATCTTCAATAGGCAACACTCTCAACAAAAAGGTTTTCGCCCGCCATTGCCTACATTGGATGCAGTTTCATCTTTTCTATTTGACAAATAGAAGCATGAAGAAATTCCAAAGATAAACAAAACTTGTGAAGTTATGAAGAGGGCCGACATTTATAATTTTGTCGCCACCAACTTTTGACGTGAAACTTCACTCACATCTTCCAATTTTCTTCGGTCTTCAACCATCGGGCGTTATGGATGCTCCACCCGAAGAATTGCCTTGTGACTGCACCCATATGTTCTTTTATTTCTTTAATAAATAATTTACTTCTTATTAAACTTTGTGGATATATATGTAGTTTTTAAATGAAAAAATTCAATAACAATAACGTTGGAATATAATATTTTAAATTTTATAGTAGTAATAAGGATAGATTTACACGTTCAGATTTATTTCGCAAATAACATTTGACGGAAATTCATTGGAAGATGAGATAAAAGAAATAAAAAGAGGAAAATAGGGTACTGCCACGACAACACTGTATAGATTATGTCAACCAAAGCTTGTATATGATGCTAATATATATATGTGTGTGTGTGTGTGTGTGTGTATATATATATATATATATATTATTTTTTGGACGATTTTAACTTTACTACAATTTAATTATCCAATAATATATTACTTTTCGTTTTTCGATAGATAATAAATGCTAGAAAATCACTGTCATGTATAAATTTCATGTTATTAATTTTCAATTAATTAACATTTACATTAATATAATGAATCTTGATTTAACTTGATGAATCTTGATCGACATGAATCTAGGGTTATTATAAATGAATTTATTTCTATTTATTTATCTATAAATTTTAATGAGTGTTTAAATTCATGTATTAGAAATTAATTCTTATGTATTAAATGTAGTATAAAAAAGTTACTCATTTATAGTATTTCACCACCACAAAAAATTTGAATTATAGTAGTTGAGTTTTAAAAGTATAATTTTCTTTAGTTCGTTTGAGAGTCATCAAATCATCCAAACAAATTGATATCAAGTATTACTTTTATAACAGTTATAAAATATTTCAGAATAATATGTAATGCACGTTCAATTTTGACTAATATATATAGAAGTGGTGTAAATATATAGCCCCCCATTTGATAATAATAGCTTTCAAACAATTTTTTTTCTACACATCATACATTTACAAAATAAAATATTCTGTACAGAAATTCAAAATTTTTTCCCTACTTTTAGCTACACATTCACCTAAAAATTACTATTCAAATTTTTTTTTTCAAAAAGTGTGGTGGTCAAACAAGGGCAATGTTTAAATGAATAAATTTAACAAGGATAATGTTGAAATGTAACGAATATAAAAAAAATGTGGACGAATATAATATTTTTTTTTAAAAAAAATTTAAATGGATAGATTTATAGTAAGATAAATATATAAAAATAGCATCTCCCAATTTAATTAGCTTTTGTAACCGAACAAATATGAACCAAATTTCCTTGCTAATTCATATTCATTCATTCATCTTGTCCCTCTTTCCTACTAGTGATCATTCAATAAAGTTTGTATTACCAAAAACATGCTTATATTGCACGAAAAAGTCGTGGTACAAAAGTTATGAAAGCATCTGAACGTATCACGCTCGAAAATACTAACCAAGACGAAATATTATTTGGTTATATAATTGTAATTATAACCTAAAAATGAAAAAATAAGAACACGTAGTTTACCAACTTGGCATAAGTAAATAATATATTTCACCTCCGAGTTTTTTTTGTTCCAATGTGTATATTGAAAAACCACAACCCTAAAATCTAAAACCCTAAAAGAAGACTGGCAAATAGTAACACAAAAGCCACATGCACCCCAATCCTTGAACTCCCTCCACTTTCATTCCCGTTTTGTCCTCCAATCCCACTCCCGCTAGTTGGTGCCGGCGCGGGCGCCAGCGTCGGCGTAGCAGTGGCCGCCTCACTCACCAATGACAATGTGCCTTTTGAATTCAAATTATCCGGCCCGAAATCATGCTTTTCCGGCATTCCATTCTTCACCGCTGCACCAACCTGCCAAACCTGATTCAACTCCGTCGCATCATTCGGCAATGCAAGCTTTGCAAATATTCTCATCGATCCGCCAGAAAATTCCGCCTTCTTGTCCAAAACGTCATAAAATAGCTTCGACTGTACTATAGAACTGTAGGACGAGATATTGTAGGTTTTAAGGACCACAGATCCGTTGGATTCCTTGAACGCCAACAGTGATTGAGCCCCCGCCATGCCGGTGCCGGTTGGGTTCAGTGCCCAAGCAACCCAGCCGTCGGGCTTGGCCGGAGGGGCAATGAAGGCGACGGAGAGCGTGGGCTTGGGCTTGGCAGTTGAGTCATAGGTCCAGTGTAGGTAGGCCTTGAGTACGGGGAGATCGGTGCAGTTTGTAAAGCGTGTGTTTTTCTGTGTAAAGGTCTGTGATGTGCAGGTCAGGGAATAGGCCGGTGAGATTAGCAAAGCCATGGTGATAAAAAAGAAAGGAATAAAGGATGCCATGGCTTCAATAAAGCTGCAAGAGCAGACCGTTCGCCAATGTTGGGAGCATTAAATAGAGGTGTGGATTATGTTTATCAAATAAAAATATGACACGTGGATTAGGGTTTATTTTGAAGGAATTTAAACAAATGCTCCCCGAACTTTACCTTCAGTGCAAAAACGGTCCTTAGTATTTTTACTCGTCACGACTTCCGCGTACTATGCTGGGTGCGAGATTAATCCTTTATGAGTAGAAGGAACAATATACCCATACTTTTTAGAGAAAATTGAATTTGGATACTTAACTCTTGCAAAATCAGATATTTATAACAATTTAATTATATCAATAATAATTTACTTTTCGTTTTCAATCTATAATAAATACTACAAAATTCTTGTCATTATAAATTTCATATTATTAATTCTCAATTAAGTAACATTCACATTAATCTAGACTAAATAAATCTAGAATTATTATAAATGAATCGAATTCTATTTATATATTTTAACAGATGTTTAAATTCATGTATTAACAATTAATTTTCATGTATCAAATGTAATATAAAAAGGTTACTCATTTGTAATATTTTATCATCACAAAAAAATTGAATAATAGAAGTTGAGTTTTGATTGTATAATTTTCTTTTCTTTAATTTTTATCTTAATTTTTATTTTCTTTAATTTGTTTGAGACTCATCAAATCTTCATAACAAATCAGTATCAAATATTACTTTTACAGCACGTATAAAGTGCAATGCATCTTCGACTCTGAAAGTCACATATAGATTAGGTCAAAATTAGACATTATATTAAGCTTTTGTTTGGTGGAGATCAAAATCTTTCTTTTTTTTTTTGTACATATTGATGAAAGTTTATAAACCGTGTAGTTAAAAAGTTATGGGTCCTATGAAATATGTCGTTAAAATTAATTGTTGACTTTAACTTAAATTAAAATTTGAATTTTAATCCGTTATAAACGGAACTAAATCATAGTCACACAATTTATAGGTTACAATCATGTACATCTAATTAAATTCACATGTCACCTGATTTTTAAAAGTTTTTTACAATTATAATCTTAACTACCGTAATTATGAAATTTTTCTTTGAACATTGTGAAAATTATGCCACACACCTACTTTTCTTTTAATATTTCTGATTTACTATCCATCATTTTATTAACCATAAATACTGCCTTTTGAAGAGTAAAATAGAAAGTGAAAAAGTATCAAAACAATAAACAATTTAGGACATAGCCAAAATTACTCCTTCAAACACGCCCTAAAATTCATAATGCTTTGAATAAACAATTTAGGACATAGCTAAGAATTTTCATTTTTTTTTTGACTACTTATCTTGAACAAACCAACATCGCAGGTCATCATGCTATCGCGTAGTTAGACGCAGCCTTTTTTTACGGTTTCCTTTTTATTTTTATTTTTGAGATGTCTAGAAGTAGCTTATAAATTCAGTTATCTCCCCTTCAAAAATAAAAAAAATAAAATCAGTTATCTCATAGGCTTGTGTTCTACAATGTGTTTTGGTAATTCCAGATTAGTATGCATTCTACGTAATTTTCAAGTTCGGACATCTTCTTGTAGTTTGTTGATTTTTTATTTTTTATTTTTGGAGAAGTTTGTTACATATTGTTCACGAATTCTGTATATGTATAGCATGACAAATGTGTGTTTCGTTAATATGTTGCATGCTCATTAAAATATCTGCAATTATGTGCTTACCAATCATCATCATTCTTTCTTCATTCCAAACATTTGATTCATACCTTGTTATATATTTGTAATATGGAAAAATGATTTCTTTGCTGTTGCTGCAATATATATGTTTGATCGATATCAGAAGTTGATTATATATATCTTCGTGTTCCAGATGCCGTTGTGTTTTATGCACCGAAAATCAGCATGATATGGATGCATACGTTCATACACGGAGCCATTTCCCCTTTTCCATTAAATATGGTTTTATGGAAGGTTTTTAATCACAGGACGTAATTAGTGGAATGACATTAATGCACCGGTTACATATTCTTTCATTGGGTTCATTTTTGGCAGCTAGTATTTTGGATGTTTTTAAACTCGTGCCAAGTATTTTTAGTTAATAATATATTAACATAGTAAATCCTAAATTAATATATATTACTGATGCATTTGTGAATTTTGGCCTTGAACATTTTGACAAAAAAGGAACCAAGCTGGGCCATCTAGCATTAAGGCTTTTCTAACCGGGTAGAGCCCAGTCCAATCTGCAGCAAAATAGAACTTAAACAGTAAACACAAACGCTCAAAACCCTAGCTAACTCTTTCATCACCTCCTCGCAACTCAATTTTCCACAACTCAGTAGATCTTGTCGCAGCGGCGCCATCAGGTTAGCTTTCCCTCTCGTAGCTACATTAGTATGTATGCGACTGGGGACTTGTTTGCAGACACAGCTTCGCTTTGATTTCTTATACTGGTTTTTGCGTTCTCATGTGCACAGTTATTCAGATTTTTGACGCATTACGTGCTCTCAAAGTAAAATATGATTGGCATCGTTTATTTTCATTTTGAACTATGGAAAACTGAATTACCTGAATTTGATCATATTTTTTGTTAGGGAGCAATTTTTGAGATCCTGCATTTAGGTTATTTTCCGAGTCAGTTTTGTTAGACATAGATTTGATTATCGAATCAGATATGGCTCAATCATTTACTGTTGGTATTATGAGCGTTTAATTTACTGTGTTTGAACTCAAAAGAACCTTCCAAGGCAGAAAGTGCTACGTGTGTTGGATTTTGAAAATTGTTGCAGAAAATGAAATTTCCAGAATTTGACGACTTGCTAAACAGTAAGAACATAATGTATTTATCTAAACGAGTAAGAATAGAAAGCATTAAACGAGTAAAACATAAATCTTACAAGAACAGCAGAATTCGGAATGAGGATGATCGAGGCGAGAACTAGGTTCTCTGTCCTTAAGACCTTTTTATCCCGTCACACGGTGCTTACAGTATGTGGTAAAGCGTCTTCCAAGATACAACAATCGAACACTTGCAGAAGCAGCACTTCGACTGCAAAACAGCGAACTAGAACCGAAAGTTCTCTCTGTAGACTAATGCAAAAAAGAAAACGGAAGACTGTATGTATGCATAGTGAACTCGTGTATTTTCTGTGTTTGTTGGTGTATCGAAATGAAAGTCTGAGGATTTTTTAAACAGAGGAGAGAGTTGACGGTTGGGTTTCGTACAACTCCCCACTTTGAGCAGTTTCACCACTCATGCCCACTTAACTCACGGTTGAGCAGTTAAGACGTCCACTTAACTCACCGTTTTCATAAACTGATGGTTTGGTTTATAAACCGTGAAAAGGGAGGGAATTAATTGAATCTAGATAAAAAATTTAAATAAATTTTATCCAAAAAATTAATATTGACTCGAGCCCGAGCCCAGGCCCATGACCCGACCCGTCTCGTGCCCTGCCGAGCCGAGCCGAGCCGGTCGGACGAACGGCGGCGGTGGCGCGCGCGCGTGTGGTCTTTGGTTAGTCTAGACATTGTCTAAGACTCCCCCCTTTCA